AGCCATGTGTTAGCAATGCTGGCCAAGAAGATGACATAGGGAAAACACTAGGCCTTGTGCACATTTTCTTTCTATGGATCGTTCTGGCCAAGAAGCTTTTGTGTTCTTTCTTTTTTTTAAAAAAAAGTAAAGAGGGTTTTTTTGTACTCCATCATTCTTTCAAATCAGAAACAGTACTGTTAGACAGAATCAAATGCAGTATCCATATTACTGTCTGATAAAGGAAACACATATCCCAGATTCTAGGCTTTAGCACACATACAAATGTGTGTGGCAAATCTGTAATAAACTCATCCAGTAATCTTTTCCTGTGAGACAAGTAGTTTAACAAATGCTGGGAATGCTGTGGGTGTCATTTATCTGGATTTCAGGAAGTCATATTTTGACTAGCAAACTGATAAAACATTGAATAGATGCTGTCAGAGGGATCCGTATTTGGTTGGAAAGCTGTACTCAAAGCGTCATCATCTGTGGCTGGACTGAATATAGTGGTTCCCAACCTGTGCGTCCCCAGGTGTCAGGTATGTAGCCGGGGGGGGGGGGGCTTGGGGGGCTTCAGCCCCCCCCCAAATTCTCATGGTGGTTCGCGAAAAGGCCTTACTGGTGCATTATTTAAACTGTTATGTTTATTCTCAATATATCCCATATGCATGGGGGTATTGGGGTAACGATACAAAAGGTTTGCTAGGGTAGACCCTCTTTCACTCAGACTCAGCCCCCCCGAAACAAACTCACCCCCCCCCAATCGAAATCCTGGCTACGGGTCTGCCAGGTGTTTTGGCCTAAAACTCCCAGAAATCCCTGCCAGTTTACCAACTGTTAGGATTTCTGGGAGTTGAAGGCCAAAACATCTGGGGATCCACTGGCTTAATACTAGACAAAAGGAGATCTTGAGTGGAGGGCCTTACTGTCCCAGGGCCTCACCGTACAACATTTTTATCAGTGACTTAGGTGGTGGGTGCAGGGAATCCATATCAAAAGGGACAAAACAGGGAGGGATGGCTAACATATTGGAATATAGGAACCCAATTCAAAAGGTACTAGATATACTAGAAAATTGGCAAGAAATTAATAAACTGAAATTCAATAGAGACAAAAGCAAAATGCTATATTTGGGCCACAAAAAACAAATGGACAGGTATAAGATGGGAGGGTACATTGCTTAGCCATACTATGTGGGAAACGGCCTCAGGATTATTGCTGATTATAAATTGAACATGAGCCAGCAACATGATACTGCAGTAGAGAAGGCAAATGCTATTTTATCCTGCATTAAAAGAAGCATAGATTCCAAGCTGAGGGAAGTTATAATACCAATACATTCAGCATTGGTCAGGTCTCATTTGGAGTACTATGTTCAGCTTGGGGTGTCCCCTTTTAAGAAAGATACCGACAAGTTGGATCAGATTCAAAGGAAGGTAACCAAATACTAAGAGGAAGTCGAGGACATAGGTTGAGAGTTTGAAGGGGCTAGACTTGTTCAGCTCGATGAAGAGAAGACTGAGGGATTGCAGTCTTCAATTGCCACAACAAAGAGAAGGGACTAGTCCTGTTTCCTCCTGCCACAGAGGGTAGAACACGGTTTAATGGTGTGAAGTTATAGGAGAATAGATTTTGAATCAATATTAAAATGTACTTATTGAGCTTAAGCACAGTTTAGCAAGGGAACCAATTACCTAGTGAAGACTCCTTCTTTAGATGTCTTCAAAAAGAGGATAGACATCTATCTGCTTGGGGCACTTTAACTGGAGATCCTGTGCTGAGCAGCAGGTTGGATTAAAGGCCCATGAAGCCCCTCCCAACTCTGTGTTCAATAATTTCAAATGAGCTCGATTTTTACAGCTCCATTAGACATGTAAAATTAGTCAGAGACAAGAAGGCGTAAAGGATACTATGAGGATGAGCTGAATTAAAATAGCATGGCTGAAATGCAGATCTCTGCAGGACTTTCTCAAGACATCTAGAAATCTATTTGGAGATAGAGCTAGAATGGGTAGATTTTGACAAGAGCAAAAGCCTGGAATATTTATGTAACTTCAGGATATGACTTATCTTAATATCATATGATTAGATGCAAATGAGATATAGTTGTAATATAGTGAGTTTTGACATCTTCTATGTTCTCTTTATGTGCAAGGATAGATAATCCACATAGTGTTATTCCCAGTGATAAGAGAAACAAACATTTCTGCGCAGTATGCTCATACTATTGCATTTCGAACTATATATATATATATATATATATATATATATATATATATGAGTTTTCTGCAGAAAACTACTCAAAATACCCAATCCACACGCGCACACACAGACACGCACTCACACATATGAAGGGATTTTGCACAGGAAACAAAATCACATGCATTTCTGGAACACTTTGCCGAGTACTAATACTAGGACAAACCTGTGGATAAACATAATTGCTGTGTTATTCTTCCCAGCAAATTTTTGTAAGTGTTAGAAGACCTTTTTCTCTGCAAGATAATAAATAGAAATTGATATTTGTTTCCATTAAAAGCATATGTGTGGGGTACAATATTCTAAATTCCATGATGACCATAATATGTGAATTGTTAATATCTACCATGAGAGAGGTTTTCATGCAAGTCTTCTTTCTACATGGAAGATTGAGAAGGGTCCTTTTTGGGGAGTATATTTCCCAGAACTTGAAGCCAACAACTGCTGGGATTTGTAGTTCAAATAATTCTTCAATCTCTGTTTTAGCGGTACATCATGTATGCAAAGGCCCGGCACATAAAACCCAATGGTCTGACCAACAGACGTGTCCAAGAGAAGCACCATAGTTTGAATCAGTTTATTTTCATAGCCCTACCTACATGTGATGCATTCACTGAACACGCCAAAAGCAGAATGCAGGAGAGTGGGCACAGCACATATTGTACCAATAAGCTATGGTTCTTCCCATTAATAATGCAGGGATCAGCATTTCTAAGGACAGGTTGGTAAAGAGCCTGGAGTTTCTTTTAAGAGCAAGGACTACAAAGATATTCTGAAGCCTTTCATCTATGGGGACTTCTCTACATTAACCCAAAGCCACTGTCATGATCTCTAGCTCATGCCATACAACTGATACAAACCACATGGCCATGGGTCATTGGGCCAAATGGGAATGCAGGACAAATGGACCAGCCATAAAACTCAGTTGCCCAAAGGTGCAAAGGTGGTTATTGATGGCTTCATTGGGCAACTGTGTTTGTCCTTTTTAAATATTTCCAAACTCTGGGCCATGTCTTTGGGTGGGAAAACTGCTGTGAGAAATCACAGTGGGTTTTGAATCCACATCGGTTTTTATTATTTTGAAAATACCAAAGCACATTTAATGTGGCACCCAAAAGTGCAAACAATAAGCATCATCCTACAAACAGATGAAATGGGAATCTATAATGTTAATGTTCTTGTTTTGCTCCATCCCCCCCGACAGCATGGTGTTTAAGAACAACATATGCTTTAACATTGGGTGTTACTTATTAGCATGTTTCTGAGGAAAAAGCTTTCTCAGAAAGGTGTGTCCTGAAACTGGATCTCACAAATAGTTCGGCACTGGTCCAATCTGGCAAACAGATTGTTAGTTAACTAGAAAACATTCCAGATTCACATTTTATCATAACCTAAAGCACTTTAGCCAAACAGAAGAGGGCACTTTTAAATATGTGCCCCCCTACAGTCCACAATTAATAAACTCCAAAAGAGACAACAGGGATTCCTGGCGATACAAAGCTTTCTTTGCAGGGAATTCATTATTTTCTGATGAAATCAAGAGATGTGTCCCAACTCCAGTTAATTATGAAGCTGAGATAAGTGAGGTCATGTGCTGGACTTCACATTCCATTTAGCTTAACATCTCCCCCAACAATAAAGAGATGTGCCAGGTCAGAACACAACACTGAGGATCAAAAGTGCTAGGGAAAAACAAAGAAACAGAAAAGAAAGCTAATTTGACTCCTAATAAAAGGTCAGGCATTAGATGGGATTATGAATGGGCAGAGTTGTGAAATGTGGACTTGGAGCAACTGTAAAGTTCAGAGGAGTTTGGATGCAAAAGCATTCTCCTCCCTCCTTTATTTGCAGAGCCATAACTGGCCTGAATGGCTTAAGAGCCACAGGCCAAAATGGAACAATTCCACCTTGTATTATTACACGTATGTGGTGTGCTAAATGCATTATTTCATGCATGCAATGTGTCACTTGTATGTTTTCAAAATCTCAAAAATATTGTATTTTTTCAGATACAATACTGATATCAGACACATAAGACCTTTTGACCCATCCCAACTGCCGCTGCCCTAGCCTCAGAGGGAGAGAAGAAGAGGCAGACATGGCTCCATCATGCCTAGGCTCAGAAGCAGATGAAAGGACTTACCTGCATCCTAATTGCCCTGGCCTCAGAAGGAGAGAAGAAGCAGACACAGCTCCATCATGCCTTGGTCCAGAAGCAAATGAAAGGCTCTCCCTCTCTCCCTCCCTCTCCCCCCCCCCGCCCCCAGCAGCCAGATGTAGGACTAGCTCCATCATACCTTGAAGCCAACTACCATTGCCTTGGCCCCAGAGGAAGAGAAGAATGGGCAACATCTGCTCGAGTATTCCCCTCCCACACTGTCATAGTCTTTTCATTTTCTATCATGTCTTAATTAGATTGTAAGCCTGAGGGAAGGGAACTCTTTTTGTGTATTCCTTTACTAGCAAAGTTTGATTTAAAGCTGGATCACTTAAAGAATATAATTAAATAATCAGGATTTCTGATTGACTATCTAGTATGCAAAAACAAGGATACGAATTATTCTTGATATGGATACATATTTTAAAGAGATCTATATGTACAGGAACCTTAAAAAGAAAATTAAGGAATATGGGTAAAAAACTGAGTACAACAAACAAGAGCTTGAAACATTTTAAATCTTTGAGTGGAAACAGAAATTGACAAAATGCAGAAAGAGAGAAAGACAATGGCAGCAACAACAACAACATGCTTTCCTTACCTGGCATAAGCCACTAATGCACATATCAAGTGACTCAGTGTAACATCGGGTCCCATCTAGGACTTTAGGTGCCAGCTCCACAATAAGACTTGTCCCTTTGGCTTGGCACTTTAGTGAACATGGGTTGTCAGGATCATTCGAGACAGGGAGCCATTCGTATAATTGTCCCTGGTACCTGACATCATTGTGTGCTGAACACTGCTGCGTACGGAAATCTCCTGCTTCTGGAGGGCAATCCTGAGAAGAAAGAGGAAAATGCCAGGTAGATGATTATATTTCCATTAGGGATTGATCTAATTATGTTTGTAAGATACAGGACAACCCCAATATTCATATGAGATATATTCCAAGATCCCCCATGGATACTTGAAAATCTGGTTAATAGCAAACCTTATATTTTGGCTAAACTTGAGCTGAAAACATATAGTAGAATATCACTACAGGCCCTAGAGCTTATCTACACTGACCATCTTAGTTGATTTGGAACTGGTTTGGAAGAATTCATTTCCATTTATTTAATTTATTTATCATGTCAGAGGTGAACTGAAGGTAGTTATAATATATTTAGAACAATACAGATACAGTTGAAAACTTGGCATTATACCAGATTTCTTTTGACCACAGGAGTGCCTCTGATGTCGCCGTGAGAAGGTCCTCCATTATGCATGTGGCAGGGCTCAGACTGCATTGTAGTTGGCAGCTTGTGGTTTGTTCTTCTCCACACTCGCATGTCATAGACTCCATTTTGTAGCCTCATTTCTTAAGGTTAGCTCTGCATCTCATGGTCCCAGAGCACAGTCTGTTCAGTGCCTTCCAAATTGCCCAGTCTTCTGTGTGCCCTGAAGGGAGTTTCTCACCTGGTATCAGCCACTGATTGAGGTTCTGGGTTTTAGCCTGCCACTTTTGGACTCTCTCTTGCAAAGGTGTTTCTGCAAATACCTCTGTAGATCTTAGAAAGCTATTTCATGATTTAAATTGTTGGCTTACTGATTGATATCTGAACAGAGAATGGGCCGGAGACATCAATGCCTTTTCGTTACTGACTACTACTTCCCGATTGCTGTCAGGTGGTGCAATACCAGCTAAACAGTATAATTTCTCCAGCGGTGTAGGATGTAGGCATCCTGTGATAATGCAGCATGTCTCATTAAGACCCACCACGTCAACTGTTTTAACATGGTGAGATGTATTTCACACTGGGCATGCGTACTCAGCAGCAGAGTAGCAAAGTGCAAGGGCAGATTTTCTATTTATTAATAACAGCAATTCTGGTATGTTTCTTGTCCTAGTATTTGTACTTTCCAAAGTGTCCCAGAAATGCATTATTTTTCCAAGCAGAGTTTTGTAAGTGCCAGATGATAGTTTTCTCTGTTGGGTAATAAATAGGTTTTTTTTAAAGATGACTTTATTTATTTGTGGTTTTTCATTTTGTTGGCAGTTTTTCTGTGAATATGGAGGGCTGCCTATATTTAAAGCTTGTTAAACAAGTTTTGCAGGTTTCAGAAATAATGCAAAAACCTGGGAAACCTATTTACCAGAGGTAAACACAAGAAGGATGCACAGAACATCCATCTTTTAAATTGATTTCAATATCCTAAGGAAAGGGAGAAAAAAAACCCCTTCAATTATCTAACTTCATCCAGAAGTAGAGATCAGTCAGAATATACCATGCCAATTTCTCTAGAGATTTTTCAGTTAAGTGTTACTGAGGGGGTAACTGGAAGAGCAGTGAAATACATCAACACCATGTGTTTCGGCACAAGAAATGAATTTGCTGCTCTTACAAAAACGCTGCCTGTTGTTCAACATTTCTTCTCACAACCAAGAAACACACATATAGCCAACTTTTATTTTTCCTTTGAAAAGAAGGGAAGGGGATTTTTTTTTTGGGGGGGGGGAGAATCAAGAAAATTGCTTGATTCAAGTGTTTGTTTACTTAAGCATTCTTTGCTAGCATTTCTTTCCAAAATGACCTAAATCAGTCAGTGGAGCAACATGAGCCAGAAAAATGCTGTGTATATTTGTATTACTGCAACAGGACTAATGCAAGCAGAGACGCCACCGTCCACAGAATCAGAAATCCTCTGGTTTTCTAAAATGTCTTAAATGCTTTCATAAAAGCATTAATTGTGGAGGGAAGATGTGAGAGATGTTTTGGGTGCAAACCTACATTCTCTAATTTGAGCTAAATATATGTAATAATATGTTTTAGTTAGTGGTTAACGTTAATAGCGACCACCCAGATATTTTTCTGGACCCCTTATAAAGGCGAAAAGCTTGTTTTAGAGCACTACAGATAACAGATTTCCCCAGCTTTCAGTAGCCTTAAATACTACCTCCCCTACAGTACTGCTTAAATAACCATTTAATTTGGTCAAAGTTCAAATACATCCATTATTGTTGTGGTTTTCCCCCAGATGCACTGTTAGCTAATGTAATGCTTGACTGCCAATATCTTCAAAGCCTGTGACAGCACTCTTACAGCTCCCAACGATCAATATCTACTCAGAGGTAAGTCCAACTAAGTTCAATGGGACACACTGCCAAGTAAAAATATAGAATTACAGCCACAGCTAAAAAAACATATAGAGGATTTCAGACTCATTTACCTATCTTGTCTTTAAAACAAGAGCTATGACCTCCGTTGGCAATTAGCTCAACCTTTCAACATTTTCATGGTTTAAAATTGCTTCCTGCAATTTGACCATAAATCAGACTAAATCTCTTGCTCTTTGCTTCTTTACTGTCAACCGAAAATAATTTCCTTGTGTCCATGTTGCCCAACAATTACATTTTTTTGAATAAAGCTTGCTATTTCCTTATTTATGGGTTATATTAAAATCACCCTGTGGTTAGCCACTAGCAAGTAACAGTTGTTTCTAGTATTGGTTGTCTTCCCTGACCCCACTATACTCAAGCTGCCCACGACCTATGTATCCGGGTTGGTTGCTAATAATGTTTGTGGCATGGCCAGAGATTTCCCCTACCCGCTGAAAGAAAACCTACGGTTTGGCTTCCCACACCCATAGGATGAAGAAATCAGATCTTTAGCAGTTATGCAGAGCTTTATGTCTTCATTTAATAGCCGAAGTTGTTCTCACACAGTACCAATACTTGCCCTAATATTTGACAGAGAGCATTTCCACACTGATTGCAAAGGAAGGCTCAATTCTGTGATCCAGAAGCCAGATCAAACCTACTTGGCAGTCTGCTTGGGACTCTCTCGGCTGTCTTCGAGATGGTAGAGAGTCCCCACTACTATGCAGCCTCAAAAACAGATCAGTACTGCTGGGCAAGCACCCTAAAACGAATGCTGCCCCTCCACATGTTGCGGCTGTCCTCAATAACAACACACACAATTACCTACTCTTGGCATGCATTGGCTGACGTCAGCTAGAGTGCCTTTTGCTAAGGCAACTGGGAAGGACAGGTGGGGAAACCCTAGCCCACCTTCTTTAGTGACAGCCACCTAGGAACAGGTAGGTGTGGCCGGTGACAGCTGTAACACAGGTGTAGAGAATGGTAGGGGACTGCCAACCTGTGCCCCTGGGAGAGCTGGGAGACCTTGACTATCCCTAACTCTGGAGATAACCTGAATCCAGACTCAGAATTCAGGTTTTGCCCTAAGTTAGCTTAACTTCACTTTATGCCCCCACCCTCGGCAAAAAAATCCCAAAAGTCACATACTAGATTCCATGCTTGTGTCATTTTAAAGACATTTTGTCTTCTAGTCTGTAGAGCAGTGGTTCTCAACCTGTGGATCCTCAGATGTTTTGGCCTTCAACCCCCCAGAACTCCTAACAGCTGGTAAACTGACTGGGGTTTCTGGGAATTGTAGGTCAAAACATTTGGGGACCCACAGGTTTAGAACCACAGCTGTAGGGGAATATGTATGATTGCTGCCTTTGGGAGCCAATGTACTATTTGATGGAATTCTGGTTCCCTATTAGATAAAAAAAACATATAACCTTCCTTTGCCATGATACATCTGCCATGTAGCTGCTATATCCATTAATCCTTTTATTATGGCTTATGCCAATCTTGCTATCAGACTACCTAGGAAAGTTAAGAGCAGCTACTGTACGTTCCTGATCTCATTGCCAATTTAGAATATAAGTAAAGCAGAATTTTTATGGGAAGAAATTATGCAATTGTGGGGTTACTACTGAAAAGGCTCTGTTCCTAGAATCCATCATTATGGCCCAAAGTCATGATTTAGCATAACCCATTACCTGATCCTAAACCAGGAAGATGTAGAGTTCTTCTCTTTCCTCTAGTCCTTGTTTTTGTTGAAGCGCAATTCAGTGTGAGGATTTCTGAGCACAACTATGTACATATTCATGTATAAGTTGACCTGATATAAATTATGGATTTTGATATGACCCATGGATAAATTGTGGGTCCTTTGGCAGAGAAGGGAAAGCACCAATGCTGCCTCAGAAGATCAGCCATTCCTGGTAGCCGATGCCATTTTTCAAAAAGGCCAGAAGCAACACCACAGAGGAGAGATTATAGGGGGTTGGTGTATCTATTAGGTTCTCCTTGGAGAGATCATCTCTCACCTTTCTCCACTTTACACAGAGAAGGGAATGGTCCCTTTTTCAATAAGACTTAAGGTACAGTACTCATACTGACCTGTAGATAAGTTGATCCAGGGTTTTTCTTCCAGTTTTAACTACAATTTCTAGGCATATACACAAGTATACAGGGTACTTTCCACAGTGTTTGGGTAAGAAGGGTTAAGAAGCCCTAAATCAGGCAGTGGTTGGTGACTGCAGCTTGCTAGATGTTGTTGGCGTTCAGGCCTAATAATCCTTCACCACCGGATATGCTAGCTACAGCTGATAGTAGCCATAGGTCAAAAGCAACAGCAAAGCCATACTTGCCCATTCCTATCCAGGGCCATGTAGCATGAGTCCACAATCAGCTCCTTTGTTCAAGTTTCTGGAGTTGTTCATATCAGGACAAGCTACACTGTAGATCAGGCCTGCACAATTTGTGGCCCTTGAGGTGTTTGAACTCCAATTCAAGAAGTCCTAGTCAGCTTGTCCAATGGTCAGGAATTCTGGGAGCTAAAGTCCAAAACACCTGGAAGGCCACAGGTTTTGCAGGCCTGCTGTGGATCCTTCTACAGATCTAGAGCTACATCTACACTTATCAAAATAATTAGGAGTGCTGTGTTCTGGAGCTGCCAGGATGCAGCATGGGAATGGGCATGTTCCTGGAGCCCTTTAGTG